GAAGCAGGATTCTCCACCATGATATAATCAAAAATAAATATCGACCCAGGCTCAAAATGAGCACCTTGATATGTGCATGAAAAATGCTTTGTTGCCATTCAAACCCAGGATAAAGCCTTGCAGGTCATCTAAATCCCACTGCTCTCATTAAGCCATAAAAAAAGAACGAAAACAAACGGTCATTTGAAGTGTTTTATAAAAATAATTTTAAAAAATTAGGTCAGGAAATAGTCTGTATACCAAACTGAAAGATAGTTGTTCTCCAATTTAAAAAAAAATTGTATTTTAAAATGGAAAAACATTCTATTTTTAATATGTGTTATTTAAAGATTCAAAGTATAACATGAATGCATAAACACCTGCATTTTATTTCAGTATTAAATTCTGTTTAAAGTAACTGATTATAATGGATGGATGGATGGATGGATGGATGGATGGATGGATGGATGGATGGATGGATGGATGGATGGATGGATGGATAGATAGATAGACTTTATTCTGGACTCATGGTCCAATAAATATATAAAATGAAAATAAAACAATACAACTAATAAACTAAGTATACATCTAATAACATATAAAAATATTTGGTTCTAATGATTATTCTTCATCATGTTTTTTAGTTTAATAAAAATAATTCCAAATGAATCTGTTTGGGCTGATGGAGAGGCCGGTATAATGCTGCTGATGTGGGGAAGTTTTAGTTCTGGTTGATACTTTTTCAGTACAACAAAAAGAATGTTGCTATTTGAAAAGCATAAGCGTAAATCATTATGCATTTACTCCACCGCGTTGCCCAATCCTTCTTTACTCAACTGAATCATATGTGGCCTCTGCAGCTTTGATGTGAAGTCTTTATTAGTTTTGTATAAAGCAAAGTGTGGAGAATAAATTGAGCCCGAGCTTTCTGTGCATCTCTGGGTCCTTTGTTTTCTGGATTGTAATGGCAAACAAGACACATAGGGGAATAGTAGGAGGAAAATTGTCTCAAATGAAAACACCAGCAAATAACATGAATGTTGTTTTTAGTTAACATTGTGGTCAGAGTGGCTGAGCTGTTTACAGGTATGTTGTGGAGGAAGCCCTGGAGGGACTTGGATAATTTGTTAGATATTCTCTTTTAGACCTGTGTTGTTGTTTGGTCTTTAATTGAATTCCTATTTTATTGTTACAAATCCTCTTTTCCTAGTTTGTACATTTATCTGCTTCCAAGATGAACATTTCTATTTTTAGAAGAGTAGGAGCATTATTTTCCTTTGGTAAGTCTCTTCAACCCTCCTGATTATTACTGCTCCAATTTCTCCTCTCTTCTAAAAGATGGCAATTAATCTAATTAGTTATCAATCAGCCATTGGCCTCTTGCCTCTTCTGTGCTAGTAGAGGATATGACAGATCTTGACTCTGCATTATTAATACTTCCATTTCTGGAGCCCAAGGCCCCCACGACGCCTACTGTTAGGGGGCCATTGATCATGACCGCTACCCATCGAGCTCTGTGAGGACTGTAGGGAAATATCCACTAAGTGGTAGGTGTAGAAATGGGGCGGGTTTGGCTGCTCTACTACAGATTAGTTTTAAAATTAGAATAATTTTTGGATAGAAATTGCTTTGCCAACTTTGCTCCAAGAAAGAAATCAAATTGACACAAAACTCTTGAAAGTGAGACCAGGAGTCCTGGGGGGTATCTTAGGGTTAATGTCTGAAGGAGTTGATTGTTTTTTTAGAGGTGGTATTGATGGGAATGTCGGGCTCCAAAACGCTCATTAAGCAAATGTGCCTGGCTTCAAAACTATTACAGCAGGATAAGAGATGCCCTCTGTGGGACTATTTCTTGACAATGAGATTAGGAATTATAGAATCTCACTAACACAAGGGTGCAGTGATCACAGTGTGGCAGCAGAACAGCATTATCCTTCATCTCCTATGAATTCCAAGCACCTCATCTAATAGCTTTAGTAGCTAAAGTTGCAGTGCTTGATAATAATCCCACCTGCTGATCTCATTTCATGTAATCAATACTAGATGCCTCCACAGGCCGGAGTGGAGAACGTCTGAGCCAAGCAACAGACTTAGGCTGAGGGCCCTCTTAATTCGGTGTCCTCTATAGCCACATCTGCTGACAGTAATTTATCTGCCCTGTATGCCAGTGGCACTTAATCTTGTTGATTATCCGATCCACATGTTGTTTTTGTTAGCACACTGTTTTGGGGAATTGCTTAAACTTTATTAACGAGGAGCAGCTTCGACCTTTGAAAGGAGTATCTTATGTCTTGATATCTAAACTCATTTTACATATATGAAAGATTTTTGTGACTGTTTAACAATGTTTTGCATCTTTTTGGGATTTCAAAGGCAAGTCTATGCACATCTATGCCATAACCAAGTATGTAGGGTATTTATGAAAGTAGTTTTTTATTATTATTTATTTATTTTATACTGTTGTAACATCTGTAATTGGAAAATAAACATTTCTTCAAACTTCAGTTAAACTGGTCCGTTACCAGGGTAGCTTGATAAGTTATTGTCTCTTTAGAAGTTTCAATGTGTAAATTATTTATTTGCGTCTGGACGTGTATTTTTTATTCATTTAATAGCTAAGCAAGAAAATATTCTCAACTCAATAGAATGCAGGTTTATAAAACAAAAATGAAATAGGCTTTTTTAAACAAATTGACCTTGTGTGCAAGTCCTGGGTGGTAAACCCCCAGTGAGTTGCTGCAGATGGATGTTCACATTAAGCCCGGTTCTATTAGAGCAGGCATTCCCAAAGTCGGCCCTTAAGGGGCCGCTGTCCTGCAGAAAGTCTGTTAATCAGCAGTCAATTAAAATCGGCTCTGTTGAAACCTGCAGGACAGCAGCCCTCTGGAACTGTTTTTTGGGCATGCCTTTGTTAGAGGCTTTTTTCCCTGTTTGAGGGGAGTTTTCACTGACTGACTGACATGTTGTGTTTTCTTGGTTACAAAACTTTTAACCAATGTATCTGTATGTTTAATTGATTTTCTAAATTACCTTCTTTTGAATTTGTGCTTTATGAATGCAATTAATTGAATCAAAGATCAAGTCCCAGCTCACTCATTTAACGCATAGTTGCACTAAGTCATAACCCTGTTTTAAAACCAGTTGCGTATTAATTTAAGTTGATTTTTATTTAAATTCAACTTATTTTCTGAATCTGGTTGGATAAATTTGGCATACCCATTGATGTAAACAGGTCTCCATCTATACCATAAATAAATTGAAGCCTAGATTTTCATCAAGACGTTTCTTTCCTGACCAAGATTTATCCAAAGATTTTTGAAATCCAAGAAAATAGTATGAATAAGGTACTAACTTTAGTTTTTAAAGCAATTTTTGAATCTCTAATTAATATGACGGTTTATTTTTTTGATTCACATTTCTATTCAGATAAACCTTTGTAGCAGATTTGCTGTCAATTATGAGAGGTATTGATCTTAAAGATCTTTTTAAATAAACACTTTATATGTCTTTAGAGACGGACATATTTCACTTTATGGTACGTTTTGCATTTATAAGACATTTCCTAATTTGACACAATGACCATCACATGTCCACCAGCCAGCCACTGGCTCCCCTCCAGTTTTTCAGCAGACAGGTTAAGTCACTGCAAACCGTCATGTTGAAGGTGTCACACAGCTTTGCTTAATTTACAGGGAGTCTGGGGGTGTTAAAAATTTATAGGCCTTCAGTGGCTTTATGGTGCAATGATGTGAGTGAGCGGGTGTGTTCGGCTCACACCAGCTGCAGTTGGCTGCCTCATTCAGGAGGGATTTAGACAGCGGCTCATCGGCTGCGCTGTGTGAGTTGGTCAGTGGACATGCTTGATCCATGGCTAAGGTAGAAGGGAATTGCTCCACAGTGAGGATGCTTCCTCCCTTAACTTGAGTAATCTGTGGTGGTAGGAGAAAAAATGTGGATCGGGAGGGAAAAGGGGGGGGAAAGGCTTTCTAGAGTTACTGGAAAGCCATAGTCACCATTACTCAGCCATTATCGTCATAAACTGCTTTACCATGTGTGGGGTATCATGGTGGGTGCGGTGGGAATTGCTGAAATCCAATAATGAATTCACAGGAAGTTCATCAGTCACAATATTCCTCTTTTTATATGATGTGGTTTTGTGTTTTGGTGGGAGGCTAAGTAAAGGATGCCATTGCAGGTAGTGTAACACAGAGTAACACAGAATCTGTGCTATTTTAAACTAAACATAGGTCAAAAGCCCTACATGCTTGAATGCCAGAAAGCACAACCTGTTCATGGTTTTTGCAGCCCCTCTTAATGGACCCGGAAAAGAGATCTACTCACCTTGTTGCACTATATCTGGATGACTAAGAATATTTACACCTACACAGTTTTCTGATAACACTGTTTTTGTTTTGCAGCAAGTTTCCTGCAGCATATCAGCTTCTATATCTTGCATGAACAAACCTGCATAGTGTCAGTTACAAAAACAAGGTAGAGAGAATGTACCCTTTGTTTAACAGTAGCATCGGCATCTCATACTGGGTGCAGCATTTGGTCTCCAGTTCAATCGCTGACAGTCTTGGGAGTTTCAGCAGAGCTTTGGGTTTGTGGAATATATAAGTTGGAACATTCAACCTATTTGTTGTTAGGATCTTAGGCTTTGTATGTTCTTACAAATTGACTCATCCAGAGAAACAAGCAAACTACTCAGACATTACCCCAAAGTCCTAGTGAACCATAAAAATCCTCAGCTCCTTTTCCGTCATTGCAAAGTTGGGCCTTTAATCCAGCTCATCCCAGCACATCTGGCTCTCTTTATGGCCTCTCTGCTTGTGCTAGCCGTGATGTTATGACAGTCCAGTGACTGAGGAGATTACACCAAGATATAAGCCCCTCTTCATTGGGCCTCTGTGGGTCGCTAGCCCCCATTTAGACAAAAGAAACAGACCCCCTAAGCAGCAGGTATGTGTGCAGCTGTTCTTATTGTGCATTCTCATGCAGGTTTCTGTTTGCTTTCACAGGAAGTTTGCTGAAGACTGAGCCTTCTTGGAGGGGGATCCTCTAAAGGAGGGTTTTGTGTTTGACGGCCCACCGACCTCGCTACGTTCGTCCTTCACGCAGCAAGAGAGATTGTTACTTTGGAGAAGTAGGAGGAGCAGAGATTGTTGGATCGTAGGACGTGACAAAACTGTAAGATCACATGACCTTCTTTTCTCCTCTTGCAATGTAGATTAAATGTCAAATATTTTGTCCTTTTGTTTTTCTACTGTTTGTGCTTTTTCCACATAACAATTTTTAGCATTTGACTTTTCTATTAGTGCCTTAAGTCTATTTAAACTTATTTAACACTACAAGCCATCTTTTAAAACTGTTAAAGCTGAGAGGTCTACAAGAATCTTAGATTAGATAGAACTTTATTGATACTTTATTGATCTCATGATGGGGAAATTCACTTTTAACATCAGCTCTTATAAACAACAGGATGTGTACAAAAAAGGAAAAGGTGGGTAAAGTACAGTGCATTCAGATATATACAGTGAATGGTAAAAAAGTAAAGGAGAGATTTAAGGTGATTTATATATACAGTACCTTGTGTACAGTAAAGTGGTTGTATGTAAAGTGTGGTTTTTGGTTTGTTAAATCGATAAATAGTTTAAGTGAGGTAACTGAAATATGTGAGGGCTCTTATAGGTGAAGGCACAGGTTATTGCACAGCGTATCAAATGGTTATTTTACAGTAATTGCACAGGTGAGTTTATTTTTCCACCACATGTCATTATAAGGATGTAAAGAATAATTCCAAAAGCATGTTTAAAACTGTCTGTTGTAGGATTTCGTTAAAAAGTTTAATCATATCAGCAAAATGCAACATCACTATTTATATCAAAGCCTTCTGTCCAGCTTTACCGCTTTCCAATAACTGCAGAGGAGGTTGTATCTGCTTCTGTTTCCCACAGCCGTAATTCTGGCAAATGAAGGTAAATTAAAAAAAATGTGTGCGTGGGAGTGAAAGCATAGCAGTGTTCCAGCTAATGGCTGCAGTGTTTTTCCTTATTGTGTAGCCTGTTCAGGTTCTGATATTGTTCTAGATTGACCCAAAGGCAAACAAAAAACAAAACAGGAGGGTTAACTTCAGTGTCGTCCTTATAAGCTCATGTTTTCACTTGCTGAATGTTCACATTGGGTTCTGGTTCTCTCTATTCAAGTTGGCTTTTCAAAGCTTCACTGTTCTGTGATCCCCTCTTTTGGCTGGCTGTGCACACGTGCAGCTCGGGACCAATGTGGAGTATACTGCCTCAGTCAAAATGAAAAGAAGCCCACCATGGTGGCAATGCACTCTGCTGACAGCAGGTAAATATCTCTGCTGATGGCGGATTGACTGTTTGAGAATAAGGTTTTGTTATTGAGCTACATCTCTGGCATCGGGGTGGCATGAGGGCCCCCAGTGTCGGGACCAGTGATGCATCAATGCAGGTTGAATGGGACAGAATGGCAGTCAGTGAGGGTGCACAAGCATGAAACGCGATCAGACCACTGAGTTGAATGGAGGTGTTCTTCTGCCAAATGCTGGAGAAGAGGAGAGGGAGGCAAAAAGAATGAAGGGCATTGCTTTCATATCTTGTCACCCACTCACTTAATAATGCAGGCACTATGTTGCTGCCGCTGAGGAAGAAGCTTAGTTTTGATGTATGAACATTTGCTCAATGCCCACATGCCAGGAAAAAGCTGAAAAGCTCTTTGTGTAGATCATCAAAACATAAAGCAGCTTTTTGAAAAAAATAAAATAAAACGGCTTCTGTTCCAATGTTGCCAGATTTACAGATGAACTTTGATAAACTTTTAAACCTACTGATTTGTTTGATTATAAAGCAGTTTATTGACCTGAGGTTTGTATTTTTAATTTTTTTTATTTTAATATTTGCACGATACATATTTCTCCACCTGGATTTTCACTCAGGTTAAAGAAAAATGTCTTTAATTTCGAGCCTTGGTTTGAATGCAGCTGACTTGTTTTTTAGTTCAGTCTAAATTATGAATATTTTTGTTTTGGCTTTAACAGCTTTTCAGTAAAAAAACACACAGCTGAAGTTTTGATCCAACTTTAAACCCAGATTCTCTCGTGTATCTGTTACACACTGGAGTCCTTTAGATGCTACTTCATTATACTTGTGTCCCCTGTGTATTTTTCACTTGCACTGACCTTTCTCACTGGTTACTTAAAAGGCTTGTGTCTTTGCCTCTGCCCTTATTTTCTTTTTAGTCTTTTTCTCCACATTTTTTTCTCCAAGTCATGCTCATGTTTAATGTTAAATGAGGGCACTGCCACACTTGGATGTGCTGTGACAAATTGGCACAGAGGAGGCAGATGGTGTTTGGGAGGAGACTGGTTGTCATACCATTTGCTGCAGCGACATGAATTGATCTTTGTGCCGCAGAGAAAACACACATGCTCCACTTATGTAATCCTGACTTTGGTTACTTTGTGCGAACCCACACAGCACACCCCTATGATCCCATGCCACCCTATCCTACACATGGCCCCATTAGTATCAATGATATGAGCAGTGGAGGCGCAAGTTTGCTGTCAGAGGGTCTTCGCTTGGATCCGCTCAGAAAACTGAAAACATGCTGAGGGATTTCACAGAGAGACAAAGCTTAGACTAATGGCATACTTCTGGGACTCTGGGAGCTCTAATATATAACTTGCGATAGATGCATAGCATTATTGGTATTCTGTTGATGACAGCAAGCTGTACATGTTTGCAGGCTGTTCTATTTACAGAACTTCTTTTCTTTAACAAAGTTTACCCTCGGGGCTTTAGTGAGGCTTGACTTGAGTCCCCCTGGATGTTTTTCACTGCAACATGATTTTTAGTTAGATCATAGTTTGTCTGACATGGAGTGCCATTGCTCATTAGGCTGAGTCCTGGGGATGTGGAAGTGCTTCCCAGTTGGGTTTTCTTCAGAAATGCATGAGTTTGTTTTTTCAACTACGCTAATGGAATCTAAAATCACCATAGACTGCCACCAAAGAGTTATTTGCGCAATGCAAAAGTTAAACTTTAGACTTCATATTGCTAAAGATCTCTAGATCACACTATAAAATTATTAGCATCCCTGCTGATGCTTTGCTTAACCCCCTTTTTGCCAAATGAACATTCTCGTTTTTTCCATATTAATTGTACAAAGAACCATCATACAAAATCTTTTTCTATATCAGGTAAGCCTAGAGTTTAAAAGGATTTTAAATGCTAATAAAGTAATTATTTTTGATGAAATATTTTGTATGCTGAGTTTGTAAATGTTCTTTTGCTCAGCCTGTCAATAGAACAATAAAGATCCATTTTCACTTTTATGTTGGAATCCATAGGCCTGAGTAATTTAGGAAGTCCATAATGCCACAAAATTATCAGTGTCTGACAGAAAGGGTTACCCAATGCTACAGCAGAAATCTCCACTATTCTTAACAGCTTGGAAGCATTTAGTCTGATGGAAATTGCTTAACAATCCCTTCAAAAACTACTTTGTGAGTAAAAAGCACTTTTTTAATTTGATGGAGTTTTTTAACTCCAAAATCTCATTCTCACTGTTTCGGTTTTAAACATCTTAATCAGTGCTCTTACTGCAGGTATGAGCAACTCAGATTTGTGTTATTTCTCATAATTATCCATCTTGACTCATTTAGGTCAACACCCATCTTACTTGGTATGTTTATTTTTTTTCTTTCCGAACTGAATACCAATTGAAACATTTTGTTTGCTATTTTGAAAATTCTCTAACACCAAAGGTTCTCCTTGTCAAATGTGAAAGTAAAAGTTTGACACTTTGATAAATTTAAAAAGGTAAGATGTAATTACTAAGCCTGGGTGTCTAGTGGTTTAACTTTTGCATTGTCGTATAGTTAGCATTGAGCCTAGAGCCCAATGCAGGGACATTGATGCAAAGATCTGTGATGCTCTGGATTTTTGCAGCAATATATGTAGAACTGATGACTTTCTTCCCCCCCAGATGAGTCACAGCTTCTTTAATATTTACCTATTTGGAATGCTCTTGATAATCTTTCTGATAGGTTTCGGGATTTATCTACTACTGGATATTTTTCTTATACCTTTTTTCAGGTTTTACTGGTATTTTTATGTTTGTATCAATTAATCCTCAAGGGGAAAAACTGAATTAATTGAACTTCTATTGGAACTCTACCTCAAACATGCCAAGCAGAAGCCAGTCTGATAAGCATACACAGTTATGCTTACATGTCTCTGCTTGAGGATAAAAAAAGGCCAAATGTTCTAACAGATTTTTCACTGTAAGCATAAAAAAATCTGCAGGCGTTTTACCCAATAGCCAGCGGTAGTATTCACATTCTCTGTATTCATACTGAAACAAAAAGCTTCCAGACCGCAGAGTTTATACCAAATCCGCAGCTGAGTTTAAATAAATCAACCCCTGTGAAAGGAATGAAGCCCTGCCAAAAGAGTAAAACTGGGTCCTCAGTGTCAGCAATCATAGCTACACACCAAACAGCCAAACATCTGTGTCTAAAACATGATTCAAGAGCTCTGGATGGGCGCTGCAGTTAAGTTTTCACTCAAATCTCACATCTCTGAACAATTTAATCCTTTTTCTTCTGAAACATTTAGTCAATTTAAATAATGAGACAAGGTTTACTTGGCCTGCAGCCCTCCAGTGCTTAACTCCAGACTGTTTACAATTACTATTTAAATGAGTTAAGGGTCAACAGTCATTTCTTTCCTGTTTTTAAATAAATAAAGGTCATAAACAACAAGATCTAATTTCAATGTTTGTCTGAATATTATGGAAATGTATTTTACTTTTGAATAGCAAAGGATAAAAACAGGATTTATTTTTAAACGGCACACTAACTTTACTGCTTAAAAAAGCAGGAAGGTGAACAGAAGTGAATATATTCTGAAACATATTGCCTCTGAGGGTTTTCCTTCGAGTCAATGAGTCGATGCAATCAGCTGGTTTTCCTTGGATAGAAAACTTTGAATCAATTTGACTGCATGATCTGGTGAATTGTAAAGTTCCTTGAGATTACATGTGCTGTAAATTGGCGCTATATAAATAAACTAATTTGAATTGAATTGAAATAAAAATGTCTGTCAAAAAAAAAATTGTACAACAGACACTGTAATAAATGCATTTCAAAATGTGTGTATATATTT